TGATAATAATAATACATGAATATATATATAATGATAATAATATATAGAAACAAGTGATGCACAGTGTAATTGCTCACCACTTGGTGACCAACACCTGTCCTGTCCTGGCAAGTGATCCTGAAACAGATAAGTCTCAACACGGCAATCCCAGACAAGTGAGAGGCTGGAAAAGAGAGCGAGAGAGAGAACTCGGAGATACCAAGAGAGTCCCCTCAGAAAAGAGAGATCCCAACTTCCTAATCAACCCTTATCTATATACTGGGCATGACATGGCATGATATGGAATATTCCATTGGCCAATTTAGCCCTCAATCCTAAGTCTAAATGCAAATCCTAAGGAGAGTTGTGAGCCCTTTGTCCTGGCTTTACTCACCGCCAGCCTGTTGTGCTCCTGCACAGTGGCAAAATCACAGGAAGCTAAAAGGTCCTTGATGTCTCAGCACCAGCCATAAACATGAGTGCGCTATCAAGCGTTCTTCTCATAACAAATCCCAGACTAAATCCAAAACACGGAGCTCTTCTAAATGCTAAAAAGAAAAACTAACTCTGTCCCAGCCGAAACCAGGACAGTGAGTTTTCTTTTAGAAAATATGTCTCTGTTTCGTATAAATTAATACCTTTTTTCAAAACATATATTTTTCAAAACCATTTCACTTCCAGCAAGGAGGAATAATATCACTATTTAAAGGTGATAGTGGAACTGCATAGACACAAACCGCAAACAAATATGTGAAGTAAATCATAGAATGGTTGGAAGGGACCTTAAAGATCATCTAGTTCCAACCGCCCTGCCATGGGCAGGGACACCCTCCACTACACCAGGTTGCTCAAAGTGTCATCCAACCTGGCCTTGAACACTTCCAGGGATGGGGCATCTACAACTTCTCTGGGCAACCTGTTCCAGTGCCTCACCACCCTCAGAGGGAAGAATTTCTTCCTTAGATCTAAGCAAAATCTCCCCTCTTTCAGTTTAAAGTCGTTGCCCCTTATTCTATCACTACATGCCCTTGTAAAAAGTCTCTCTCCAGCTTTCTTGTAGGCACCCTTTAGGTACTGGAAGATTGCTAGAAGGTCTCCCCAGAGTCTTCACCAGGTTGAACAATCTAGGGACCCGAAAAGAGATTGTATCTTTTTCACCTACAATTCCTTCTCTTTGTTCTTTTCTGCAATGACAAATGACTCATCTATTGTGGAGAACCATGAGTTTGCTGGTGCTGCCCTTGACTGGGCTACTACATGGACATTAGTTGCACCGAGCATGAGAAACCTTCCTTCCTTTTTGAAGCTGCCTTACTCTTTCTGGTGGGTTGATAGGGGATGGTAGTACAGAGCAGGTGGTTACCGATAAATTCACGTTATAATTCCTTGCACATTTTCAGGGTACGTTCTGGAATGACAGTAGCAGGTCCAATATGTCACATGACCTTTTAACTTAAAAACGATATGCTCTCTCTAATGTGCATAATATACTGCACTAATCTTAGAATAATATCCTTTCCAGGGTGTTATGGTTGGAATGGGTCAAAAAGACAGCTATGTAGGGGATGAAGCACAGAGTAAAAGGCATCCTGACGCTGAAGTGTCCCATTGAGCACGGAATCATCACAAACTGGGATGACATGGAAAAGGTCGGTGTTTATTTTTAATGTAATTTTCTTGAGGCATCATCTTATCCAAGACTTTCAATTTGCCATTAACCTTCTTGCAAACCAAAGGGAAAATCCTTGAAGAATTTGTCATCACAGTATAGGTAAAGGGATAGTAGTACAATATGCTAGTACAGGAGTTGATCAAATCTTGGCACTTCTAGAGTTACTATTCTTTTTAAAAGTAAATGCTTATTAGTCATCAGATTTGAAAGTATATTGTGAAAGTGTTTTATCCTTCATACATACTGTTTTCAGTCTTGAAGTTCATACTGAGGCAGAATGTTTGACAATGATAGAAAGTAGCTAAAGTGGAAAAAAATTACAAGTTATGATTCATCAGAGGTGATATATTAAAGATAGATTACTGAAGTTGGGAAGAAAAGCTGTGAGGTGGAGGGGTGATTTTGCCTCTTCAGTACTTGCCGGCATGAACAAGAGGATGGGTGATGCCCATATCTCGTATTGCATATGACATTCTCACTGTCAATTAAAGAGGAAAAGACAGATTGGGGCTTCCTGTCCCTGTACTAACTCTTTGAGAGAGGGATTTCCCTCCCCTCTCCCCCCCCCCGCCCCAAAGCATGTTTTTCTATTGCCAATTCCAGTTTTTAATGTCTAGATGGTGAGAAGGCATCTTTATTCCCTCTGTAGCCCAACTTTCTTGGAATGCGGCCAGTACAATGACCTCTCAGTGAAATGCCCACTTAAGGATGTCCCAGAGCAGGCGCAGGTGGTGAGATGTGCTCCTGGCAGGCACTGGAGAGGCAGGAGAAGGTCTAAGGGCACTCTCACTCTGATATCTCATATGTCCTGGTCTCTTCAGGAAGCATCTGAATCTTGTATGTGGAAATACTGTACCTCCTATTTAGAGGCAGGATTGCAGTTCAGTCCCTTGTCGTCTCCAGGTGAAATGGTCAGTTACCGTGTCATATTTATGAACCCAAACTGGTAAGTACAGAGCATTCCATGTGAACAGACCAAAGTAGGTACAGAAGCAACAGGAGTTCCTCAGTTCATATTTGGAAATAAATTGCTCACGTACTCCTCTAGATGGAAGCATAGTGTTTGCATTTAATTATTTCACTGCTTCCTGGGAGGACACCTTGCTTGTTTCTGCAGAGTAGAAAGTCTACCTCATATACCCCATTACGTTGTTCTTGCTGATCATTTTCCTACTGTCTGCATTCAGCAAGAAATTATATTTCCTTGTAGGAAAAAAAATAAAATAAAATGAAACTGGAGGTCACTATTTTATGTTCATCCCTCAGTGATTGGTCTCTGCATCTGGAAATTGTCCTGTGTATAACACATGCTGGTATGTGTTCTTTCTCTAGGTAGTGCTGGATGCTAGAGCAGACTATCTAAAATCTAGTTAGGAAAAGGAATTTGAAAAGGTAAAAAAGGTGATGTGTCCTTTACCGTAGTGTAAACCCATGGCTAGATTGCTTGGTTTTAGGGTGTAACGTGGTGGAGGCTTCAGGCAGTACCGTAATTCAAATAATGGTCAGATACTATATGAGTTCTTGTAGTTTGAACTTTCCTTCTCTTTGTCATTTAAATGGATGAAGGAATTACTTGTAAAAGTGGGTCCCTCTTAGCCCAATTTGCTGCCTTCTGACAGAAGGCTTGCAACATGCTGGCAAAGATGCCCCAACGCTGAGTTGTGCTTGGACTTCTGGCTGAGCCCAGGAGCAGAGTGGGACAGAAAGTAGAGGCAGCTGTCAAGTGAATGAGCAATGAGCAACAAAGAGAAAAAAGAAGCAGGAGAAAAAGGCAGCGGCAGGGAAGAGGCAAGAAACGGCGTAACTTTTGTGATTATTGCAAATAAGAAAAGAAGCTTTTTTTTTTTTATATACATGAGCTTCCCTGATTCGATCGTATATCTCAACTTCCCCTGAAGCTCTGTATCACACGCACATGTGCACATGCTCTTACGGCTGAGCAAAGTTTGGAAATGCACTTCCTAAAGTTTTGATGCTACGAGAATATCTTTTATATATGCATGTATATTCCCCCTTGTCCTCTCAATTTTTAAACCTGTTGCATGGTTTTAATCTGGACCACAAATTTCTTTCCAATGCTTAGAAATCATACTACTAACTGCATCATGATGTAGAAGAAAGAAGAGAGTTACTGGATGACGTGCCAAAAATGGGACAAAGGCACAACAGTCCAGTGCCCAACTGTCCACATGTTACAAAAAGAGGGAGGTCCCCAAAAGATAAGGCTGAGCGTGCACGTGTGCGAGAAACAGCGAGAGCGAGGATGCTGCAGGACGCGCGGACGTCCATGTGAATTGAGAGGAGAACATGTAGGCGATGAAACGAAGCGTTCATCTTCTGTGCTTCGATTCACAATATTCAAATCGGGGCTGCTCTGTTTTCTGCTGGATGATAATACAGGGCATTGTACATCACTATTAATTTGTTCCCAGCAACTGAGCTGGCAACGTGTGGGAGGGAAAGCAGTGGGATGGAGTGTTTTCTGGCTCTGGTGATGATGTAAATGTTTAATATAAGTGTTGGAATAATTCTTCCTCAGTAATTTCTCTTCGCTATTGTTCCTGCTGCTTACATTGAATTCTCATGACCTATAAAATTCAACACGGAACTATTTTTGTTTCTTGTAGAATATTATTATCCATTAACATTATGGTTATCATTAAGTGGAATCTAATGAGCTGTACAGTGCCCAGTTGTGTGTGTCTGGTTTTGAGGAAAAACCTGCAAACTGCCCGAGGTTTAGGCAGGGTCCTGCTTTATGAGTCCGGCTTTGTTCCTCGCTGCTTGAAATCACCAGTACGTTGTTAGTAAGCGCTGAGGTTTCCTTCTCTTCCCTTAATTCTTTCCTGTATGAAATGGCAGTTGTTGTCATCGTCGTCTTATTTCTGATTTATATATTTTTAAAAACTTTTATGTGATTACTTTATGTTTTATTCAACTTCTCTCTGTATTCTAAACCTTCAAATGGAAAATGGCCTGGCATCCTAAGACTCAGTTCTGGAAACATTTGATCTATTTATTTATTTATTTACATCTTTTTTTTTTTTTTTTTTAGGACTAATTGAAATAGTTGAAATTATTTTTTTTTAGGTCTGATAATTTTCTTAATGAACAATTCCATCTCTGGACAGCTCTTGACTTTGTAGGCTCTTCAAATTTAAAGAAGATTTTTTTTCCACTTAAGTTTGTTCTGGAGCATAATAATACTTATTTCTAGGATATTAATCAGCTAAACTTACCCTTAAAACTCTCCTGATGTTTTGTGCTCAGAAATAAGCTTGTTGAGTCAGGTAAAGCTGAGCTAAAAAGAGGGAAAAACAAGAAATAAGGGTAGGAAATAATTAAAAGAGAAGATAAGAAATATTTCGTCGTGTTACTGAACAGTCTGTCTTTGAGCCGGCATCAAGAAAAAAATCCCTTCCATTCCTCGCAGCCGTAGTCCTCAGATGATCAAAGCCAGCATCACTTGATACAGGTAGCACCTTCCAACATGAAAAAATATGACAGTACTTTACAGGCTGTGACTAAGAAATTTAGTTACTCTATCGTGAGAGTTTGATTCAGGATTTAATGGATGAAATATCTGCAGCATAAAAGGCCTTTTGCTTCTGTGCAAATAATTAGATTTCTAAAGAGTGTCTTGGCAATGACATGCAACTTTATCAATCTCCAAGCACCTTGAAGCAGAGAAAGACGTCTTTCCAGGTCTAACAGTTCAGTGCTTGGCCCAGCTTCTGTATTGGAGCGCTGGGGGTGGGAATGACCCAGTGCCGCTGTTTCGAGCGGATAATCTATGCTCTGTTTAGGGAATCCTAACTGCGGAAGGACTCCGTTGTGTAGGTTATAGTCTATTGTTACATACAGTAGAAGCTCAATGGTTTTGATTCTAAAATAGAGTTGTATTTGGCAGATTCGCTCTTGAGTGCTTTCGGTGTGTTTTAATATGCCTGTAAAAAAAACCCAATCGCTCAAGACAGTATTTGAAAAGCTTTCTGTGTAGTTCTGTGGACAGAAGAATTGGTTTTCACAACACTTTTCTGAAGCGATTTTGCTTTTTAGATTTGGCATCATTCTTTCTATAATGAACTCCGGGTTGCGCCAGAGGAACACCCCGTCCTGCTGACCGAGGCCCCCTTGAATCCCAAGGCCAACCGTGAAAAAATGACTCAGGTAATCGTGAATGTTGTGCCACAGATCACTTTTGCACAGAAGCAGCTAAAAATAAATAGTCCCAGGTATTCAACTTCTTCCTCTGGGAGATAATCCTGTAAGATTTGGTGTGGATTAGCATGCTGGATAAGCCATGGTGAGAGAGCAAACGTTTCTGTTGTTCATGCAAGTTCTCTGGATGGTCCTAAAATTTTTTATACTTGCGTGTGACAGTGAGCTATATGGAACTAACCTCTTAAAAAAGTAATTTTCTTTGTTCACAAGACTCTGTGTGTGCCCAGTTGTGGAAATGGGGAAGCTGGAGGTTAAGGTGGCTTCTGGTGCTGAGTTCAGTGTGTAGATAATGTCAACCCAGTATTCATGCCATTTTTTTGGATGGAGTTAGGAGTCATTGATGTATTTAAACCTGGGGTTTTCAAGCGCTGTATCGTGGGTCACACAGCAGCTGAATCACACTTCTGTGTGAGTTTTTGGATCAACGATGCCTTTCATGTGTCTACCTCTGACCACCAAGACTGCTCGACTTGTAGTAGCCCAACTGCTTAGTTCATGCTGTGCCAGCTTCTGCTTTCTACCCCAAATACCATCACTTTATCAACACTTTTGCATCAGAGAAAATACTTATTGTATCAAAATCACTGCCTTTTTAATTTTTTTTTTTTTTTAAGACTTGAATAAAGATATTTGAAGGCCATCATGCAGACAGCTTTGTGGAACTCCCAACTGGAGCATCTCTTCAGCGATCAGGGGCAAAGTGTTCAAAAGCTGGACTCTTTGTGCTGGCTTGGGAAAATGGGTTGTGTGAAGCATTCAAACTTAAATGATGCTTTGCTAAACACTTTTGCACATGACATACCCAGTCTGATTTAGCAAACTCAGATCAGAACCAAAAATCAGCTTCTGAGGTCTGTAGATTTTAAAGCAGCATTCTAGCCAAAAGTCCATGTTATAAATTTAGCTGGTGATGTAACCAGAAGTAAGTGTGATTTAAATACAGATATAAGTATAAAATCACCTGGGAAAATCAGATGTGGCACTCTACTTCCCTTCGTGCCCACTTTTGGCATATATTTAATAGGAAGATTATGCATCAATTTAGCAACAGTGTAAATAAATTAATTAAGTAGTGAGCTTAACAGCACACGTTACTGGGAGATAATACAACTGGGAGATAATAAACAACAACAGACCCTAAGAAAAGCCTGGTTTATAACAACCAGGGGGTGTGGTTCAGATAGTAGACATGTCTAGGACTATTTCTCTGTCATTATACTATAATGATAAGTCCTGGTTTTGAGATTATTTAAAAGTTTATTGTTTATTACTGATTACATTAAAGTCATTACATTAATTAACTTTGAAATATTGGTAATTCGTGTATTCTTTAATTGAAAGCATACTTTTAATTAAAAGTAGACTTCATTGGCAAAGGTGTTAGCTTATGAAATCCAAATTTTAAGCTTAACTCCCTGATGCCAGTGGCTCTGACAGGTACAGTGGTGATGGTCAAGTCACCATCCCTGGAGTTATTTAAAAGACGTGTAGAAGTCATGCTTAGGGACATGGGTTAGTGGTGGACTTGGCTGTGTTAGGTTTATGGTTGGACTCAATTATCTTAAGGGTCTATTCCAACCTAAACGGCCTATGATTCTATGAAACGTGGTCACAGCAGAACCACTAGTGATGGGGTGGCACTGCCTGGGGTACGTGGCATTGGTTTAAGGAAGAATACAGCACATAACATTGTCTGGAGCGTGTTCACTGTGTGCCCTTCACAGTTTTCTTTAGCAGAGCTCCAGTGGAAGTCCAGCTGGAAACAAAAAAAAAATTGTAGTGTATCTGCCAGAGGAGATGGAAGGAACTGGAGTTTGTTAGAGTAGAGGAGGAGAGTGATGAGACAAGAGAATATGGCTAAAGTGACCTTAAAGAGAAAAAATAAACTGTTATGTTTGCTGGGGAGGCAGAATGAGATGTAATGGGTTTGAACTAGACCAAGTGAGGTTTCAGCCTGACACCGAGAAAACTCTGATAATAATTAGTATGGTGTATCACTAGATTTGTTTGCCAGAGGAATCTGTGGATGCTCCAGCAGAGGAATTTGAGACAGAACCAAAGCTGTGTCGGGAATGGCTGATTCTTCCTTGAGATGGGAATATATAGATTATTCCTCTTGACTTCTTCTAGCTTTGTCCTCTACAAATTTTTTATATGTGTGTCTAAATACATATATAGATAAAACCCTTAGATTGTTGCATCGTTGCAGTCCTGCCATCAGAGTAAAAAAGTTATCCCAAGGTATCATCTTCAATTAATATTATGAGTAAAAATCTGACTTAGTCTGAGGTTAATGGAAAGATGTCCACTGACTTCAGTGATTTTTTTTTTTTTTAAAAGTGAAATTCTGAAGAAAACATAATGTACTGTTCACAGAAAAGTCACGGTTCAGGAGGCCACTCAGGAGTATTAACTGGCAGTATTAATTTTAAAAATTTAAAATTTACTATCTCTTCAGATACTCTTAAGTGTAGATCCTAAAGGTTTTCAAATTCTTCATTCCAGATTATGTTCGAGACATTCAATGTGCCAGCCATGTATGTAGCGATTCAGGCAGTGCTGTCCCTGTATGCATCTGGAAGAACAACTGGTGAGTCTTTCTGGGAGTCGTATTTTCTACCTGTTTGTCTCTGGCGGACATGTATGCCTGTACGGGCACGCACACGGATATGTGTTGGTTATGATGCAACTGCTGTGCATTAAGAAGAACCGGTAGCCATATGGGAACTGAATACTCGCCACCGTGGCAGGTAGGGGTGTAGATTTATGACTTTATGCTTCAAAAGCTCTCAAAAGTTGAGACTATGTCTCAACTATAGGAACAGATGAAAGGCTGTATCTTAACAACATTGTTCCAAACCCCTGGTTCCTTCTTACTTTAGACCTACCTCTATTGTTAAGCTCCACTCTCATGAAAAAAAAACCCAAACAAGTATTCAGTATCTAAATGAAAATGTTTCATTTAAATTTTGAATTTCAATCACCTAATGACGCCTACATTAAGCGATCATTAGAATTAGCATAGGGGTCTCTTCTTTTTGCCATTTAGAGTCTGATCAAGCATTGGGATGATAAATTACTTCTTAGCAACCCTTCAGTCTTCATATACTTTGGAAAAAAATTAAAATACCATCTGTCTCTGTAGCCTGATGTCACAATAAACTTTTGTACAAAAGGATCACCATCTTACAGGAATTACGATGTCGTAAATACTTGTTTTATGTTTAAAAATGCAACTATTTGTATGCATTGTTTGTATCAGAAATGCTTTATTCATTTCAAGTGGAAAACGTACTTCATTTCCTATCCAAGAATATAAGTAACATGACTGTGCACGGATAAACCATTGTTATATTTTCTGTAATGGAGTGTTTTATTTTAATGGCAGATTCAAATTTTTAACATCATAGATAGATTTTTGTTTAGAGTTTGTACATTATATCATGTCTGTAAAGTGATAGGGGTCTCCTGAAATGAAAGCCTCTGCATCCATGTAAGATCATTATTTCTGGCATCCATTGAGCAAGAACAATACAAGCAAATTGTTGAATGTTATAAGGCTTTTTTTTTTTTTCCCCAAACGCAGTTGCTGCTTAGTTTGTGCTAACAATTTTGTCTCACGTGAGCAGCTCTTTAGTTATAGAAATGACAGAAGCAATTTTCATGGGAGCACCTTTGTTTGTTGTTGCTTGTTTCAGCAGAGAATATGGAGTATGTGGAGACCGTACATCAGTGGAAAGTAACCAGCTTCTTTTCTTTCACTTTCCAGGAATAGTTTTGGATTCTGGGGATGGTGTCACACACAATGTGCCTATCTATGAGGGCTATGCCTTGCCTCATGCCATCATGAGACTCGATCTGGCAGGCAGAGACCTGACTGACTATCTCATGAAAATTCTTACGGAGAGAGGCTACTCTTTTGTCACCACTGGTAATGAGCTGTGCTTTGGATGCACTTTGCATACCTTTGCTTTGTTAGTTGTCTTATTGTGCAGCAAGCATGTGCCTGGTGAGATGCATAAGGATCCCTATCGGTAGGTTGGCCTGGGAAAAACAGTTCATATCAGCTGATGGGATTCTCCTGACTTTGGCTTTTGGCATATATGCTGAGCATCAAGGACAAGGATGCCACCTCATGAGGAAATCTTAAGTTCCTGGCAAATTTAACAAGTTGTTGTGTTTGATCATACCTCTTCCACAGACAAGGGAAAAAGTTAGTAGCTGGCAATGGATGAACCTCTGGAGATTTGATCAAGGTTTTGTGATACATTAAATCATTAATGTAAACATTAATGTAAACATTAATCTTTACAGTATTCTGTAGTACGATATATCTTTTATTTGCCAATGAGGGAAATTTGATAATGCAAATGGAAAGTAACATTGTTGAGACAAGAGAGAGGTCAGAATCC